CTGTGAATCTTAGAGAGGGGGTCGATGATTTTACCTGAACAAGAAGATGGCTCGACCCGGTCGTGAGTTGTAGAAGAAACTGGTGCAAGAAAATCACAGAAAATGACCTTTTGAAGCTTCTTGATCAGGTTGGTTTAGTTGGATGAAGTCTGGTAATCCTCATCTGCGCATAGATGGAGATAGAGGAGTGTATGGCAGAGAGGGAAAAGAGATAAGGTTAAGATGATGATATAAGCAATGTTTTAAAAAACGCCTCTCAACGCAATTTATTAAGTATCAGCTATTCTCCGTGTTTCTGAAAAAATGAGAATCATAACTCAAAAACTGTAAGAACCACCTTTTGCTGTTTTAAAAAAAACTATTATTTGAAGCTCAGTTCCAAACAAATCTAATTAGCAGTTTCTGTTTTTTACGTCACTCTGAAAATGGAGACGTTAGTGCCAAACCAAGCAAGGCCAAGGTTCTTGGCCAAAAAAGGAGGGGGGCTTTGACCCCGTGTTTTGTCTTTATTACAGTCAGACCTCCTCACATTTGCATAATTACACTGTTAATGATGTTAACAGAGGAAACGAATTGATAATTTTACCCGGTTTACTAAATAATGGAAAGAGCAATTAGCAAGGGCAAAATGAACTCTGCAGAAAAAGAAAAAAAAAAAATAAAGATAATGAACTGTATTGTCGAGAATTAGAGAAAATAAACAAACCTAATTATAAAAAAAATGAGAAACATGAAACAAATTGAGCGCATATACCTTTATTTTAAAAGAATAAATTAGTATGTTGGTTCACGCCATTGGACTGGTTTATCAGGCCAACATTTTGCAAGAAAAATCTTGTATGATGTGATTATACAATGGAATGAAATTCTCACAATTCCATAATTAACTTTGATAGCAACAACATACAGGAATAAAACAAATGAATAAATAAGGAGCCAATATAGATGCTAATAAACCATCAATGAAAACAATACCAGATAGAGCCCAGCCTGTGTGGAGTTTACATGGTGGAAGGGTATGCATACAGATTGAATGTTTGATACTACTTTTGTTTTTCTTTTTCACAATGTGGTAATGTTTATTTTCGAATCCATGTCTAAACTTCTCGCTTCTCCCAGTCTAAAATTTTTTAGCATTGCACCAAGCAGTATTCACTCATCAACATTACCAATATACTAAGTATATATAAGGATCTTTCTTGGTGTATTTCAAGATAAGAATGCAACTACTACATTATAAAGAAGCAATTTTGTATGGCTCCAGCATAGATAGGATAAACAAGAATACCAGGAACTATGAGAAATATATAGTACATAATTTTAAGTAAAAAAAAAAAAACTAACAACTAAATAAACAGTTATGCATATAAATTTCTAGACTACTATAGCATAGATTTGCTAGTATAAGTTAGCATAACCAAATCAAGGGAGGGCTACATTTTTCTTCATTGCTGAGGAGGGACAATCCAGATAGAAGGCAGTTGAATCTTCATGTCATATTTATAAATAGGAGTGATGTTGTTATCTTCCAAGTTGAAGATACCCAAATCGTGAGAGTCCCTGAGGAGTTCAGCATCAGGACTAGAGAAGTAAATACAATTCATGGGCAAGCCGGGGAAATCAGAGGCCGAGACAGAGAGAGAGTCGTTAAGGCCGACAAACAATGCTGTGGTGTCACCTAAGCTTGGCAAGAGTAGCCACTCCTTGTTAACAAAGTCTAGCTTATACACATCAAATAGAATGGTGTACTTGGGATCATTCTCATCAACTGGATCATCATAGTACCTAACAACCATCAACAACTCCCCTGAAGACTCCACGAGATAATGATCAGGACTCCAAGCACGTCTCAACTGCCTTTCGTGTTTGTCCATTGTGGGGTGTACCAAAGGAGGCAAATTAGAAATGATGAGAGTGTTCTTTGGAGAGGCAGGGTTGCGGAGATCCCAAGCTTCTATAAGGTTATTATTGGTGGACAATGCATAAAATTTTTGGTCCTTGCTGAAATATATGACATCTTTGTATGATCGTGCTTCTCCATCTAAGGCAGTCCATGAGGTGTCCCCAATTCTGCAGAAGGCGAGGCTGTATTTAATGTAACCTTGGATGACCATCACAGTGCAATCATCAGAAGAACAAGCACTCATTTCATTACTATTATTGATGTTATCGTGGAGATGATGATGGTTGGATGGGAATGGGGACGGGGATGAGGATAAAGCAATCTTCTTGAAGAAAGGCGCCTTACTCAGTTCTTGAGATGAAATGGGCGAGAAGTGAGTCCAAATGGTGAACTCAGTAACAATGGATGATGATGATGATGATGATGAGGAATTGTAGCGTGAAGATGAGATGAAACAAGGGAGTGTTTGTATGGGAGGGAGAGGGAGGTAAGGGAGATAGGAGTGACTGAAAGGGTTGAAAAGGTAGAGAGAGCAATTGCGAGGGTGGATAAAGGCGAGCCAGCCACGAGATGAACCAAAGCAGATGGCCTCGTTAGGGGGAAGTAATTCCCTTTGCCATGGAAGCATAACATTTTTCGTCTTTATCTTCATCACTTTCTTCTCCGTAAGGCTAAAGAATCTGTAGTAATCCCTGGTGTCCTTGGCCTCCATTGTTACAAGTTTGAACATTTCTCTGTCGTCTGGTTGAGCAACCAAACCAGAGCCACCAGGTAGCATGATACACGGTGCTGATCGCAGAGGAAGAGGTCCACTTAGTGCCCCCTGTTCATCAACTACGTCTACTACTGTTGCTGTTGCTTCGGTAGAAGAAGAAGAAGAAAAACGTTGGATTGATGAAAAGGTCGCACCTTTTTTTAAGACTCCGACTGGTCTGCCTCCAACACCAATAAAATACTCCGATGATCGGACGGGAGAAAACAAACCACCACCACCACCGGTGGAGTGGTGAAATTTGGCCGCCGAATTAGAACAATAGGACCATGTTTTAAGCATAGAGCGGCGGCTATGCAGCATGCGATCGCCAAAACTCCTCCAATTAGCCATCTGATCTCTCTTCTCCTTCTCCTTCGATATTTCAATTATTCCTCACTGCCTACTCCCAACCCTAAATAAATAAATATATATATATATATATATTTATTTAAATTCATTTAATAAATGGAAACCAAAATATGTGAAAAATAAATTAAAAAATTTGTTCAAAATAAATGAGATTGTTAATTGTCCACTATTCTTTTTCTTCTCTCTTTTAAATCATCAAAAATAATTTATATATTATGTTGTAAGCTACAATTGCAACACTTTTTTGTTATTAGATTTGAAATTTTAAAATTAATATTAAAGACTTTAAATGGAGTTCACAAACCTACAAACATTGTCATAAGTCCATAGATAAGAAAGGTTGTTGAAAGAGTAATGTATGGGATTTTACGAAACCTTCTTCCCTGACATAGAATGAGAAAGAAATTGATGTTGTTAATCCTAGATAGAATTTGTGTTAAACTAATAAAATAGTTTGTGAAAAATTAGCAATTTAATTGATATAAAATTCATCTTGATAGAATGAGCAAGTAGTTTGCAACTCTTTAACACATAAATAAGTAAAATATTGAAAATGATTTAAATATATATATATATATATATATATAGTGCATATAATAAACTGAAAATGAAGGGTTGTTAAATTTTAACTAATTAGAGTGATGATTTTGTTTAAATAGCTAATTGTTACTATCCCTAAAGGTATTTGAATTTTGAAAAAATGACTCTAACTGGACATTGAAGAAGTGATTTAGTTTAATAAAGAATATTTTATATTTTTAAAAATATATATAAAGTGTATGGAGATAAGAAAAATGTCTTACATGTATAAATGATTTAAATATTGAAAAAAATTAAAATGGTTAAAAAAAGAAGAAAAAAAAAGAAGAAGAAGAAGTGCATATAAAAATTGAAAATGAAGGGTTGTTAAATTTTAATTAATTAGAGAGGTAATTTAGTTAAAATAGGTAATTCTGAGTGTCCCATGTAGAATAGATGTTTTAATTTTGAGAAAATAACTCTAATTAGATATAGAAGAAGTGATTTATTTTAATAGTGCAATTTTTTTTTTATTATTATTTTTTTAAAGGAATATTTAGGCCTAGTTTGGTAGAATGGAAATGGGAGGAAAAGAAAAGAAAGATAATGAAGGGAAATAAAAAATTGTGTTTGGTATAAGAGAGTGAAAGGAAAGGAATAGGAATGGAGGATTTTGGAGGGAGAGAGTAAAGCTTAAATAGTAACATTTGCTATCCCCTCAAGAGTGGAAGGGAATACGAAAGGAAAAAAAAAAAAAATAGAGAGGCTAATGTTATTTCGTTAATACCAAATTTATCCTTAAATCAATGAGAATTTCTAATCCTTTCAATACCTTTCGGCAACTGCTCTTTCAGTGCATTATTGACGGGCTGGAAACAAGGTGGGCAATATTCATTAAAAAAAAAAAAATGCATCAAGTACATTATCCTAATTAGCATTTATGGTACCATTCTTCTCATCGAGTTTATCATTTTTCAAAGCATTCTAGCTTACTCTTTTTTACTTTTGTTGGGTAGATGGTACTTCAGTTATTGTTGTGAAAGTTAGATCATAGATTTATTTTGTAACATCATCAACAATATATCACTCAATATAAATAAAGTGTTAATTACCAAGTATTATCCCCACAAACAATGTAATACCATATATTTTTGTTAAGCTTCTTTATTTGGTATTATGGGTTACAAAAATTGGTTCAAACTTTGAAATGGTTAAAAACATGTTTGGCAGTGGATGTCATGCTCAGAAATTGCATGCTTAATCTATAAATTTGTTTTTTAAAATGTAAAAGGTATATTGGTAAATTAATTAAAATGATTTCCTTTCTTTTTTCCTCTATTATTCTTTTTTTTTTCATTAATTAACACGATAAGAATATATAACTTTCCTTTCATCTCCTTTATTTGGTATTATGGGTTACAAAAATTGGTTCAAACTTTGAAATGGTTAAAAACATGTTTGGCAGTGGATGTCATGCTCAGAAATTGCATGCTTAATCTATAAATTTGTTTTTTAAAATGTAAAAGGTATATTGGTAAATTAATTAAAATGATTTCCTTTCTTTTTTCCTCTATTATTCTTTTTTTTTTCATTAATTAACACGATAAGAATATATAACTTTCCTTTCATCTCCTTTCCTTTCTTTTCCCTCGTAACAAATGTTATGCTTAAAACTAGACAGTGACGAAAAATTGAAATCGCCGTCTTGGAGAAGAGAGAGATGTCTAATTGGAAGGGTTTTGGTGATCGGTTGCTGCGTTGCCGCCTGTCTATGCTTAAAACATGGGGCAATTGTTCCAATTCGGCGGCCAGATTTTACCACTCCACATGCGGTGGTGGTGGTAGTGGTAAGGGTGGTGGTTTTCTCTCTCCCGTCCGATCATCAGAGTATTTTCTTCGTCTTGGAGGCAGATCGGTCGGAGCGTTGAAAAAAGGTGCGACCTTCTCGTCAATCCAACCTCATTTTTTTTCTTCTTGTGCTAAAGCAACAACAGATGTAGTAGTAGTAGTTGAAGAGGAGGCACGAGGACCCCTCCCTCTTCAATCGGCACCGTGGCTCATGCTACCGGCTGGATGTGGGTTGGTTGCTGAAGGCGACAGCGGAAGGTACAAGCTTGAGGCGAAGGACGGCGAGAGGGATTACTACCGGTTCTTTAGCCTTAGGGAGAAGAAAGTGGTGAAGATGAAGACGAATCTTATGCTTCCATGGCAAAGGGAATTACTTTCCCCCGACGAGGCCATCTGCTTCGGTTCGTCTCGTGGCTGGCTCGCCTTTATCCACTCTCGCAATTCCTCTCTCTATTTTTTCAATCCTTCCATTCACTCTTATCTCCCTTACCTCCCCCTCCCTCCTATCCAAACCCTCCCTTCTTTCATCTCATCATCACGCCACAATTCCAATATGCATTCACCATCTTATTCTTCTTCATCCATAAATTATAATGATATTGTTACCGAGTTTATGTTGTGGAATAACTACTCGCCCATATCATCTCAAGATCTGAATAAGGAGGAGGTTTTCTTTAAGAAGATTGTTTTATCCTCAGCCCCGTCCCCATTCCCTTCCAATCATCATCTTCATATTGAAAACACCAATAATAATAGTAATAATAATAATACTAATGAGGAGAGTACTTGTTCTTGTGATTGCACTGTTATGGCCATCCAAGGTTACAAGCAATACAAACTCGCCTTCTGCAAAATTGGGGATACTTCATGGACTGCCTTAAATGGAGCAGCAACAGGATACAATGATGTCATCTATTTCAGCAAGGAACAAACTTTTTATGCCTTCTCCCACAGTGATGAAATTATAGAAGCTTGGGATCTCAGTAACCCTGCCTCTCCAAAGAATACTAGCATTATTTCTCATTTGCCTCCTTGGGTACACCCCACAATGGACGAACACCAAAGCCTGCTCAGACGTGTTTGGGATCCCGATCATTATCTAGTGGAGTCTTCCGGTGAGTTGTTGATGGTTGTTAGGTACTATAAGGATGGTAAACAGATAAAGACCATTCTATTTGATGTGTATAAGCTAGACTTTGTTAACAAGGAGTGGCTACTCTTGCCAAGTCTGGGCAACAGGGCACTATTTGTCGGCCTTAACGACTCTGTCTCTGTCTCTGCCTCTGATTTTCCCGGGTTGGCCATGAATTGTATTTACTTCACTAATCCTGGCATACTCCCCGAAGACTTTCACGATTTGGGTATCTTCAACTTGGAAGATAACACCATCACTCCAATTTATGATTATGACTTGAAGATTCAACTGCCTTCTATCTGGATTGTCCCACCTCAGCAATGAAGAAAAATGGAGCCCGCCTCTGTTAAACAGGTTATGCTAATGTATTCTAGCAAATTTATGGTATGGTAGTCCAGAAATTTATATGCATCATTGTTTTTATTTTCTTATACTTTAAATTATATACTCTATATTTTGCTTACTTTGTAATGACCACTAAATTTATAACACAAATTACTAACTAATTAAAGTGTGAAGTTATAAAAGAATAATTTAGTAAATTAAGAAATAATAGAAATGAAATATAATCCTAATCTGAATAGGATGCTTATATGAGAACAATATATATAGGGATGTCCTCAAAATCTAGGGTTATTGTTTTTGAGGAAGAGAACAAGAGGTGGTCAAGTAAATTAGCAAAACAATCAGCTAAGTAGTATTCTAATTATTAATTTTTACAATAAATGGCATGTTTCTGGTATACTTTTAATAAATTTACATTTGAATTCTGTAATAATTCTTGGGTTATTGGTAATGCTATAATGGAATTGATTTGAATATATTTGTTTGGGATATGTTGAATTGGAAACATGGGACTTATATTAAAATTTGGAAGATTAAGAACACACACACAAGAATTGATATACTTATGTGCTCGTGCGTTTTTGGGTATATGATGGACCCTAAACTTTAAAACTAACCTTGGTTCATTCAAGAACATGTCGTAGATATATATGTAATGTAATATATACATATTTATAGGTTTAAAAGTGTTAAGGATTTCTGACGGTCGGGACATGAATTTGGGGCCAAGTTTATTACACAGGTTAGTTGAATTCTTTGAATGTATAGATGTTTTAATGATCTAAGAGCAATAACACCTTGTTTTTGGTATGATTAGAGAGGGTTTCTATGGTCTGATTTGGAGGTTGAAAAGGGCCGAAAGTTTCATCTTATTTTGTTATAAATTAACACAACGAATGAACGTTTAATATGTTTTATGATCTAGATTTGGAGCCCTGAGATTTTTGTGTGATTTGGGGTGGAATGTGGTTTGATTATAGAGGTTCTATTTGTCTGGTCGTGAACTATTCTTGCTGGGTCTGTATTTCATGAACACAAAGGAAGTTTGAGGAAGAAAGATGGGAATGGATCCTCTCCAATAGTTTTCCTCTTCATGTATCCCCAAGCATTCATCCAATGGGTAAAAAAAAAAAAAATACATCACCATCTTGTTTAGATTAAGTCAGTTATGAAACCATAACATGGTGATTACACCAATGATGATGTGACACGTTTTTTTTATCGTTGGATAAAGCCTTGGAGACAATGGGAGAGAATCAAAATCCAGAAAGGTGAGCCATGGGCCTTATGACGAAGCCCACTTATGAGACAAGTGCTGGGAGGAGAGTGTGGTTAACCTGTTGTGAGTTTTGAGTCGGGTTTTGGCCATTTGGTACTCTCTGTGTCTGATTTTATGGGTTCGCAATTGGGTCCATCCAAAATATTAAAATAGTGATTTTTATATTTATAATTGATATAAATGATGAGATATTGTTTAACAATTACAGAAATGGGAAATTATAATTAAATATTATTAGCTTAATTGAGTTTGAATACACTTCGGAACTCTGAGTTAAAATGGGATTTAAATTAGTTAGTGGTTTAATTAGTTTGAAAAGTAGCACTTTTTGGTACAAAAATTGGGAGTATGGATTAGTCTTAATTAGCTAGGTTTTGATATTTTGTGAGGATCTTAGTTTGCTGGATTTGTGATTTTTATATATGAGAATGGGATTTAAATTTGTTAGTGGTTTAATTAGTTTGAAAAGTAGCACTATTTGGTACAAAAGTTGGGAGTATGAATTAGTCTTAATTAGCTATTAGTTTGAAAAGTAGCACTATTTGGTACAAAGTAGGGAGTATGAATTAGTCTTAATTAGCTAGGTTTTGAACTTTTATGAGGATCTTAGTTTGCTGGATTTGTGATTTTTATATATGAGAATGGGATTTAAATTAGTTAGTGGTTTAATTAGTTTGAAAAGTAGCACTATTTGGTACAAAAGTTGGGAGTATGAATTAGTCTTAATTAGCTAGGTTTTGATCTTTTATGAGGATCTTAGTTTGCTGGATTTGTGATTTTTATATATGAGAATGGGATTTAAATTAGTTAGCGGTTTAATTAGTTTGAAAAGTAGCACTTTTGGTTACAAAAGTTGGGAGTATGAATTAGTCTTAATTAGCCAGGCTTTGTTATTTTGTGTGGATCTTAGTTTGCTGGATTTGTGATTTTTATATATGAGAATGGGATTTAAATTAGTTAGCGGTTTAATTAGTTTGAAAAGTAGCACTTTTTGGTACAAAAGTAGGGAGTATGAATTATTCTTAATTAGCTAGACTTTGTTATTTTGTGTGGATCTTAGTTTGCTGGATTTGTGATTTTTATATATGAGAATGGGATTTAAATTAGTTAGTGGTTTAATTAGTTTGAAAAGTAGCACTTTTTGGTACAAAAGTTGGGAGTATGAATTATTCTTAATTAGCTAGGCTTGGATATTTTGTGAGGATCTTAGTTTACTGGATTTCTGATTTTTATATATGGTACTCTCCCTGGTTGTACTTCTTAGTTATAAATTGCAGTTAGGGTGGGTTTTAGGATATGTGACATTGTGGTGTTGAAATGTATGCGACGGTATGGACATTGGGGGCTTGGTCAAACTGTGTGCGCAACCAAGATGAGATTCAGTGCGAGACCGGGATATTGTTCATATAGCGAGACCGGGATATTGATTATGTTGTCAAAATGTGTGCGCGACCTTGATCACTATTACACATACAAACTGTGTGTGAGTCCTAATGATGTATGGATCACCTCTTATTTAATAAATGAGCTAATGTTGTGTACTCTCTCAATTCTGGTGTGTGAATTTGATAACCTATTTTTAGATGGGTTTTGTCCAGATTGTATGTGCTCTAGTGGGTGAGCCATAGGTTTTGGATAGCGTGGTACATGTTGAGTCATAGCTAGTGTTGTGTCAGTTGGTTTAAATCATGTTTGGGCATATGTATTTACAAGATTGAAATTGAATAATGGATTTTGATTGATATTAATGATTTAATTAAATATTTACAATACATGACATACATATTGAAACATGTAACTAATTATGTTAAACTGCTAGATAGATATATGGTGATTATTGTTGATTAATTAGAATATTGCTTACTATACTTTCCCAAGCTCACCCTCTCTTTCCCAATATTTGAGGTACAGATGGAGTTGGCACGTTTACAAGGCACGTGATAGTTAGATGCATTTAGTTTTGCTATTTTGTTATTTAGTTTTTATTTCTATCTTGAGTGGTTATGTACCGAGGATAGTCATGTACTGGAATAATTATGAGAATTTTATTAGTGGATATTTTGTGGATTTTATTTATTAAATGATATTTTAGTTGGGTTATTTGATATTGTTGTGGATGGATTTTGTCGTTGGCTTGAAGTGATGCACTGAATTTAAGTGCAGGACTAGATGTTCCTGTATTTAAATTTGGTGGATTGACGTTATTCTTGGTATTCTTGTTTACCCTATCTATACCATCGATGTGCTCCAACAACAAACTTATTGAATTAGGATTAAAATACAATAGGATCCAAATCAAACCCATATATGATTCTCTTTTTATCATGCTACTCTGTTGCCCTATGGAATCACAACTACAAGTATATTGGTCAAATCTAACCCATGGAAGGAATTGGATTAAGATTTTTTATTGTGGGTGATAAAATTTCGTGTGTGAACTAATATATATATATATATGTGTGTGTGTGTGTGTGTGTGTGTGTGTGTGTGTGTAAGCATATTAATATGACTTGTGCTGTTCTTTTAAAGCGTGATTTGTGTTGTTTAGCCCTTTGTTACCTTAACTTCTTGTTGACAAGGAAAGAAACCAAAAAAAGAAAAACCAAATTGTGTGTAAAGGTAGATGGTTGCACTTGTTAATGGAGTCTTGTCCCAGGTTAAAATAAATATAAATCTATGATTATCTTATAATTAATTAACTAAAAAGAGTTCTTAAGAAAACATATTTTATTTTTACACTAAATCATAACTAAATACTTTCTTATAATTATTTGAATAATGTTAATAAGTCTATTTGTGAGTTTTAATCTTGTAGCGCTCAACAGACCCACACCCATTTACATCCTACTACTTTCCAAGACTGTTGTTGAAAGCAAATTGTCGAGTGGCCCCGATTTTCAAAATGCGTAAGCATATAACGACGCCCTTCTGGGCTGATCCCTACTGACCTATAAGATGTTAGCATTACGTCATGTCAGAGCGAACCGTGAAAGACAGTGCACCTATCGCTAGGTTTGCAGAAGGCAATATCATTTGATCCGCTGCGGATGGCCATACTAATTCCCATCAAGTTCTGATTTTGATGATGATGAAGAACAATAGGGGACAGCTGATGAATCAAGAAAAAACATATCAGGCATTTACAAATGACCTACAAAAGCCAAAGCAAGCATCTAGAGCTTCTGGAAAGAAGACAGAGCAGACATCACAAAATAATTTTCAGTGGTATCTCGAATCATGGAGCAATGTTATTTCAAATTCAAGGAATTTTGTCATGACCTGAACAACGGTATAGATATCATCCGCTTTGCACACTCTCCATGCTATGATTTTTCTCAAAATGTATCTTCACAATTAACATGCATCCACACATATAAGTGTGTCATCAAAACCTCTACCAACATGGAGAACGTATTCGGTGTGCACCGGGCACATCAGAGCCGTCTGTGTACAACATGCGCGGGTATGGACAGCTCTAATGGCCTGGTGCACGGTGAACTGTGCACACCGAATATATTCTCCCAAACATGCATCCACACATATATAAGTGTGTCATCAAACGCCTAGGGCGACGTAGGACATTACAACGTTAGTTACTTGTTCACCTTATTTATTCAACATTAAGTATCACAAATGTTTATCACTTTCCAAGAAGGAAAGTGCTACATACAGAGAGCGACTTACAACCAACATGAAACCATGACAGATAGAATGCAAACTGCAAGATGCCCTACTCAGCAACTCCAAACTATAACTATAATACAGATCAAATGAAACAAGTAAGATGCCATACTCAGCAACTCCAAAACTATAATACAGATCAAATAAAACAAGCAAGATGCCCAATATATAGTAGCTTATCAAGTTTCATCTTTAAGATAGTAACAAACTGAAATAAAAAAAGATCAATGCTCATATAATCATATCCTTGCCAACCATGAATTCATAACTATATGCATACATTAATGGCAACCAAGCATACACTAATAAAGACCAACCAATGAGAATTATAAGCAAAACACCTTTTCAAGCACAAATCAGTTAGCACCAAAATCTACCCTATGAGGAGAGAGATTATATTATTATCTAGTAGTGATCAAGGTTGTTAAAATCAGAAATTTTACTCAGAATCGTTTTGGACTCTGGAGAATCGGAATCGTAGAATCAGATCGAAAATTGTAAGATTCTCCCAACTAATAAAAAAACAATTCAAACTAACTTCGTAAGCAATAATATCTAAAACACACCCAAAAAAAAAAAATGTATAAAAGTACCGAAAAAAGAACACAGAACAGAAGCAAGATGTGTTCTCTAATAAAGGAGTGCACAGACTTGATCGATTCGTAATTTCAAGCAAAACATTGCAATACAGAAGTTTGGTTTGATTTAAGGGAGTTAATATGAGCGGATAACAGGCCCTTCGGAACAAAAAAAAAAAAAAAAAAATTAATAAAATAAAGAAAGAACATAATATAATAAGAACCCAAAAAAAAAAATTTGAACAAAAAAATGAAGGAACAAAAAAATGAAGGAGCCAAAGATGTCGTGACTCGAGAGAAGAGGAGAAGCTACAGGTTGTGTGACTTGTGTCGCGATGTGTCCGAGACAATAGAAGAGTAGAAGAGACGGGTAATGTCGTGATGCAGAAGATTAAGGCTTCGGATTTAAGTTGAAATGCTATATTGCCGTTTTGGGCCGTGGGCCTTTGTTTTTTAAGAAGCCCAACCGTGAACGGGGCCAGAAATTTAGCCCAACAAAGGAATAAGTCAGAATTGGGCTAAGTTGCTAGAATCGTATGATTTTGTGATTCAAGGCCAGATTCAACCGATTCTTGGGCGATTCAAACACTGTTTGCAATTTTTATGTGATTTGGATCGATTGTGTGGGAGGGATCGTAGAATCGCATGATTCTATGACCCATAATAGCCATTTTCATAACCTTGATAGTGACGAGTACTTGTCAGGCTGCCCATTGGAGTTGCACAAAAAAACACATTGTTGTTCGTAGCATTACTCTTCAGACACTTATGAAGCACGGACACTCCTCCCAGGGGTCCCGTACCCGTGTAGGATACTTTTCGGACACCGACACCCGTGTCCGAGGGTCGGACACGTGTCCGATACTTCTGTAAAGTGTCCAAATATTATTTTTTATTGGACACGCGTGTCAGAAGCTCGGACACACGGTCAAACACTTCTGTAAAGTGTCCAAAATTTATTTTCTCTCACTCCTCTCAATCTCTCCTCTTCTTCAATTATCTCTCTTCATGAACAAGATATATATATATATATATATATTTAAGTTACATGAACAAAACTTTGTGAAAGACTAAAAGTATATATATTTATTCATATACATATTTAGTTCATTATAGTTATATCTCTTCTGCACATCTTCGTTTGGAATTTGGATCAACTTTATTTTTCATTTATTTTCTGTTTTGTCTTGTCTATATTTTTCTTATAACAGAGATGAAATTATTGAAATTGATTTTGTTCTTTGTTATTGTTTTATTTTTCTGTACAAGATTCTAGTAATTATATTTTGAATATATAATTATATATATATATATATATAATATTTTATAGGCGTATCCCCGCCGTGTCCGTGTCCTATTTTTTTGAAATTTGTCGTGTCGCCGTATCCGTGTCGTGTCGTACCCGTATCCCGTGTCCGTGTCCGTGTCCGTATCCGTGTCCGTGTCCGTGCTTCATAGTCAGACACTATTGTTACAGAATTGGACTAGAGCAAGTACTTCTGTACAATCAGGATACTAATCCTCGAATTGAACAAAAAGCATATTGAACTTGTGTAATATTAGGAAGCCCGATCTAAAAGACCAGATCCTTCAGAAAAAGAACCAACTTCACAATGTTTAAAATACTGACTTTTTGATGATTTTAAACTTTTGGCTAATTCTAAAAATGAAAATTACGAAACTACTCCTCATCATTGCTTACAGTACATTGGAATTGTCCATCTTAGAAAAAAGAAATATTTGTCTACTCGCCAAACTTCACACTACCTAGTTGGGAGTAAGAAAAGGCAAACATCATGGGAAAGAAAAACACAAGCTTGTTCAATGATATAAACAGATGGTAAATTGATCAAAAATCCAAAAATAAATTTAAGTGATAAAGAACAATGATTCAAAATTTTCAAGAACTGTGCTATACATGCCTACAAAACTGGCTGAAGAGGCCAGCCGAGGCTCTTTTAGCCTTTTGGATATATAACCTTTGGCCCAATTTGAAATTAGTGAACATATATTGTAGTCAGAGTAAAAACATAACAATTTGAAATTAGTGGTTTGAATAAAGTTATCAAATAGAGTCCAAGTACTAAACTTCCTTATTTTAGAATTAATAGCAATAATATTGTAGTCAAAGGTCAAATTAGGGAGTTTTTATAATACCAAAAAAGAAAAAAGAAAAAAATTGGAATTTATATATTCGGCTTAAATTCCTACCCAGGAGTTCCAAACTATAATACAAATAAATGAAACAATGTGTAGCAACTTATCGAGTTAAATCTTCAATACACTCGAACAATACAGTGACAAACTGAAATCATGATGAACAAAGCGCATTTAATCATATCTCCTTACCAATAATGCATGAATTTTAACTATGTGCCCACATTAAATGGCGACCAGACATACACTAATAAACACTAGCCAATGAGAATTAGAAGCAAAAACACCTTTCTAAGCACCAAAATCTACCCTATTAGACAATTGCATATATAATCAAGATCAAGTGCTTTAAACATCAAAGCCTTGCTCCTGCCATCCATAATGAAAGAGAAACAACAAACTTACCTAGATGAAAGGGAAACCTCCAAAAGGAGCTAGCTAGCTGTCTGTTAGGGAAGAACCTACAGTGTGTTAGGGGCAACCCAAACTGGGTGTGGGCCAATGACCTTCTCCCTGCTTGGATAATAAGGTTTTATGCGGTTATCTTCAAGGCTAAAGACGCCATTGTCATGGCCACCATATGTGTTGTTAAATCCGTTTAAGTTATCGTCTGCAAAATAGATAGAATTCCCCACCAGCTCCGGATAATCACGAGTTGAGAGAGAAAAGGAATTATTATAACCCACAAACATAGCCCGATCACCTAAGCATTCCACGCGTTCCCACTTATTGTTATCGGAATCAAACTTATGAACATCAAATCCCATAGTCCAATAAGCATCATCATCGTGAATGAAATAATTTTCCCATTCATCATCATTAATCTTATTCTCTACTTCCACTATTCGACTTAGAGCTATAAACCTGCAAAGCAGCAAAATATCCCCACAGGATTCAACTAAATAAATTCTCGGATCCCAAATATAAGATTCCCTAATTTTTTTCCAAATCTTCCCCTCACAAAAGTCAGGGCTATGAAAAAATTGCTTTTGGGGACGAGAAGGGTCTCTGAGGTCCCAAGCTTCTATGCTAAAATCGAATCTGAGGGCAAAAAATCGCTGGTCCTTGCTGCAATATATAATGTCAGCATACATTGGGCCCGAAACGTCCAACATAGTCCACCTCTCGTCCCCTGGTTTGCAGAAGCCAATTTCATCACCTCCGCTGTGGATGGCCATTATAGTGCAGTTCCCGTCAATTTGTGGTTTTGATAGTGATGAAGAATAACAGGGGACCGTTGGGGCTGATGACATAACAAGCCTTTGTACGAAGTAACGACAGGCGCGTTCCGGGGACATCTTTTCCTCGTATGTGTACTCCTCGGAATTGCAGTCTTCGTGTATTAAGTTGATGAACTGTGTGATGAGAGAAGGGGAAGGGGAGGAGTGATCAGATTTGAGGGAGCGAAAGCCGAGAACGGAGGGGATGGTTTCGATTGAAGGGAGGGGAATGTAGGGGAAATGAGGAGAGTCTATTAATGGATTATAGAGATAAGGATGACAATTGTGAGGTTGGTTAAAGACCAGCCAGCCATGAGAAGAGCCCACACAAAATGCGCCATTCGGCATAAGAAGCTCCCTCTGCCATGGTACACTCAGAGTCCTTCGAACCCTAAATTGACTCTGCTCCGAAAGGCTGAAGAAATGAAAATAGTCCTCATTGTTCTTGTTGCTGGACTCCGAATTGTGGTGATCGACAACATTAACACCGGGAGGTACCATGAGCAATGGTGATGAAGACAGTGATCGAGGACTTACAGGTGGAGAAGAAGAAGAAAAACGCCGGATTGGCAAAAACATCGCAGCTTTTTTGAAGCATCCGCCTCCAAGGAGCAACCCACTACCACCACCGGTACTGGAGTTGTGAAAACTCGCCGGGTTAGAACAATTACACCATATTTTCTGCATGGAACGGTGGGAATACAGCATCCGATTGCCACAACTCCTCCAATTAGCCGCCATTCCTCTCTCTTTCTGCTATTTCGCTGTCGTGACCTAAGTAGATTTTGTTGTGATGGGCTTTTGGCCAAGTTGGACCATTATACAAACTAGCTCCATAGTCCATGTAACCTTGTACAGTTTTATCCCATTATTTAACTTTTTGAAAGAAAAAAAAAAACCATTCTTTATATATTTCCCAATCAATAATCGACAACCCAAATAACTGTTTGTGGACATGTATAGTGTTACCCAAATACCACGTTAAAATATGCCATTTTTTATTTACCGGTGGTGGACTGCCAAAAACATTGAAATAGTTTCAAAAATGTGCAAAGTGTAATGATACGAAACGTGAAACAGAAGAGGCGAAAACTCTCTCAATATAATAATTTTTTATGGGCAGAACCACATTTATCCTAGTTGCTTTGCTTGAGTAATCGTGTTGGATACATGTCTGAACAATAAAGCTACTGTATGAGATGTGCCCAAGGACAGTCTCTGAATGATGGATAAAGAAACCTGGTTTGAGTCCTGATGATTGTTTCTATATCATCCATATAATAATCAGTTCATCACATTATGTCCCTGAGAATGAAAATCGGGGTTTAGAGGAAGATTAAAGTTTGTTCATCGAAAATTTAGGAAGTAACACAAACATCATAGACTAATGGTGTAAACCTGGCTTGATTACACGGATGGTGAAAGTGTCCTTAACAGATGTATGTCTTAAAATTCCAAAATCAATTATAACATCGTAACAATCCATGATGTGTATTCATATCTCTTTTGGTGTCTAAAGAACAATCTTGGATTATATGATGCAAATTGATTGCAAAAAAAAGAACATTATCAGCATTTTATAAAATATATATTCTTTTCTTTTTTTTTTTTAATCTAATTCAGCCAAATGGTTTAGCTTTTCTACCATTGCACCCGTGCACTCAATGCACATCGTCTAACAAATACCATTACTGGATGTTGATTTACCATGACAACTATGTTTTAATATCCTGAGGTTTAAGGTCGACAAAATCTGACGTCAGAAAATCACTCTTGCTTTTTGACATAGATACCAATTAAGTCCATATAAGCATAAGCAGGCAACAACAGTAAGAACTAGTGCAACTAAAGTATTGTGTGGGAATGATTCGTTCTTGGTTCCAAGTGTTGGAAACGGCATTAGAAAACGCAAATTTTGGAAGGATTTTTAAAAGATTCCGCTAAGAATTTTTTGCAAATCTATTGACGAGCACGTTCCTCTCTGCGAGGAGATGAACGTGGTATATTTATTTTCTCAAATCCGTTTCCGGGTGAATGAGAAATTGGCTCCAAAGTAAGTGATTTATAAAGCCTAAATGGGTGTGAATAAAGTGGGAAATGCTTGTCCCACATCGAAAAAGTAGCAAAGCAACCTTGAGTATATATATGTCTAGTATGGGATTTGGGTTTGGGCCCAAGGGCACCCAAGTTTTTAAGAGGGGGAGGACCTAGGCTAGGCTGGATCCGAACCAACTACCACACGCGCGCGCCGCCCGCCCGGTCCGGGCTAGGGCGGGGCTTGATTGTGAAATGGGTTTAACATTTTACACAAAGTTGGGATGGGCCTGTGTGGTTGAATTTTATTTTGTTGCTGGACTTATCAAAATGGGCCTGTTTACTGGGCTGAATTAATGGCCGCCGAGTTGGATTTTCTGCTTGCTGGATTGGATGAAATTAAAGGGCTGGGCTGGATCAGAATTAAAACGGTTTGAGTTTATTTAAACCATAAATCAGTTTTATTTTTGAACCAAGGGTTGCACCCTTTACAAATTAAAAACCACCAACAGATTTTTAATTTTGATTGGTCAACAATGGTTGCACCCATTCGGACTATGAGTGCACCCATTCAGAATAGGCACCAACAAGCCTATAAATACCCATCATTGGGTTCATTTCAATTCACACCAATTTAGAAATCTTCTTCTCTTCTTCTAATTCATCTTTGTTCGGTTCAGCCACTGGTTTGGGTTCAACCTAAACTGGTTTGGATTGGGTTCGAACCTTGGTTTCCAAGTTTGGGTTCAATCTTGGTCTCCGAGTTAGGGTTCAATCCTGGTCTCCAAGTCTGAGTTCAACTGAGAGTACTACACCGAGCCGGTTCGCCTATTCCATTGGTTTGAAGTGCTACAACCAAAGGAAGAAAAATCATTGTATCCTGGGAGATAGACGCCGAAGAGTCCGTTAGCACCGTAGCGGGGCGTATCTGTCTTAAGGCTATAGAATTAAATTTTAGCCTCGACTTTAACAGGTTCTTTTATTTTATAGTTTTATTTTCTTGATATTAAACTATATAAATATATATAGATTATTATAATAAATATTATATTTACAAATAATATTTAAATAAATTATACTATAGTATATGATACATTTTTGCTCCACAATCTTAAGACAGATAACTTTATACTATAGTAATAATTATTTAATTATTATTGTTGTTATAATTATTATAATTTGACTCGTGGTCTGTATATCAATATATAACAGACAAATGGCAAGTACGAGTATTACCGTGCCTAATGTTCCCATTAGTCATGGGGGGAAGCCCGAAAAATTCAACGGGACGGAGTTTAAAAGGTGGCAACAGAAAATGATGTTCTACCTTACAACTCTGAATCTAAGCAAGTATCTGACTGAGACTGCTCCAGTGTTAGATGAGGGTGATACAGACATTACCAAGCTTGGAGCTGTTGATACATGGAAGCATGGAGACTTCCTATGCAAGAACTACATCCTCAATGGATTGGACAACACCTTATATAATGTGTACAGTCCAATAAATACTGCTAAAGAGCTTTGGGAGTCGTTAGACAAAAAGTATAAAACAGAGGATGCTGACTTGAAGAAATTCGTGGTTGGACGATTTCTGGACTTCAAAATGATAGACTCCAAGACAGTCGTGAGCCAAGTGCAGGAGCTCCAGCTGATCCTACATGTGATACATGCTGAGAAGATGACATTAAGTGAATCCTTTCAAGTAGTTTCAATCATTGAAAGCTGCCACCTACTTGGAAAGATTTCAAAAATTAATTGAAACATAAGCGCAAGGAAATGGGGCTCGAAGACTTAATTGTCAGGCTGAGAATTGAAGAAGATAACCGTACATCTGAAAAGAGAGCCGGAAATTCTTCAATGGTGTCAAAGGCAAATGTAGTGGAAGCTGGACAGAAAAATAAGAAGAGGAAGCACTCTGGAGAAGGTCCTAGCCAAGGAAACTACAAGAAGTTCACTGGGAAGTGTTTCATATGCGGCAAGTTAGGACACCGAGCTAAAGATTGTCGTAGCCGCAAAACACATCATAACCCCAAGAAGAAGACCACTGAGGTGCACATAGCTGAAGAAGATAAGTTGACAGCTGATGTATCAGAGTTAAATCTTTCAGCTGTGGTTTCTGAAATCAACCTGGTAAGCAACAACAGAGAATGGTGGGTGGACACAGGAGCTACTCGTCATATTTGCTCTGAAAAGAGGATGTTCACTACCTATGAAACTATAGATAATGAAGAACAACTCTACATGGGCAATTCTTCTACTGCAAAGGTTGAAGGACAAGGAAAGATCAAGCTACTAATGACCTCAGGGAAAGAGCTCACTCTTAATAATGTGCTGCATGTACCAGACATCAGGAAGAACTTGGTCTCTGGGTCACTACTAAGCAAGAATGGGTTCAAGCTGGTCTTTGTATCTGATAAGTTTGTGCTGACTAAGAATGGGGTGTATGTGGGCAAAGGGTATCTAAGTAATGGACTATTTAAGTTCAATATAATGACTGTTGTACCCAAAGCTATTAATGATAATAATAAAGCTAGTGCTTCTTCTGCTTATATTATTGACTCATCTGATGTATGGCATGGTAGGTTAGGACATATTAATTATGATACTATTCGTAGATTAATTAACATGGAATCTATACTTAAATTTAATATTGATTTAAATCAAAAATGCCAAACATGTGTAGAAGCAAAATTGACTAGAACCTCATTTCACTCCATAGAGCGAAGTACTGAACCTCTAGCATTAATTCACAGTGATATCTGTGACTTTAAATCTGTGCCAACTAGAGGTGGGAAAAAGTATTTCGTTACTTTTATTGATGACTGCACAAGATATTGTTATGTATACTTGTTAAAAAGTAAAGATGAAGCCTTGGAAATGTTTAAACATTACAAGAATGAGGTTGAGAATCAACTTGGAAAAAAGATAAAGATGTTTAGAAGTGATAGAGGTGGTGAATACGAAGTACCATTCGCTGACATTTGCTCAGAACATGGTATTATTCACCAAACTACCGCTCCTTATTCACCTCAACAGAACAGTGTTGTTGAACGCAAAAACCGTACCTTAAAAGAAATGATGAATGCTATGTTGATAAGTTCTGGTTTAACCCAGAATTTGTGGGGGGAAGCTTTGCTCTCTGCTAATTATGTTCTCAACAAGGTACCTCAAAAAAAAATCAAATGTGACACCTTATGAATTATGGAAAGGTCAAAAACTTTCCTATAAATTCTTAAAAGTGTGGGGGTGTTTAGCTAAGGTTGCGATTCCTACTCCTAAGAAAGTTAAGATAGGACCAAAAACCTTTGATGGTATTTTCATAGGTTATGCACAGAATAGTAGTGCATATCGTTTTTTTGTGCATAAATCAGACATTCTTGATATCCATGTCAATACAATTATTGAGTCAAGGAATGCTTATTTCTTTGAGGATATATTTCCATGCAAAAATCCTCTTAAAAGAAATTATGATACTGCTAATAGCAATATACAAGAGAATATAGACCAAGAGTCTATAGATAATGAAAATGAGGAAGAACCTAGACGTAGCAAAAGAGCTAGAACGTCTAAGTCATTCGGTCCTGACTTTCTGACATATATATTGGAGAATGAGCCACAAAGCTACAAGGAAGCTATGTCTTCTCCTGAATCTAATTTATAGAAAGAAGCCATAAATAGTGAAATTGAATCCATCATGCAAAATCATACTTGGGAGCTGGTGGATCTTCCTCCTGGTACTAAACCTTTAGGGTATAAGTGGATTTTCAAGAGGAAGATGAAGCCTGATGGTTCAATTGAAAAATATAAAACCCGACTTGTTGCTAAGGGATACAGGCAAAAAGAAGGCTTGGATTATTTTGATACATATTTACCAGTCACAAGAATAACATCCATTAGATTGTTACTAGCTATTGCAGCACTGCAAAACTTAGAAATACATCAAATGGATGTTAAGACTGC